CACTGCTCTTGGACTTTACATGTTTATAAATTAAAATTGTAGAATGTTGAATAAACAGGAAAGGGCTTTAAGGAGCATGAATAAATGGGTAGAAATGGAAATAATGGATTTTAGCTAGGCCTAAGAGTTTTTTTTTCTGTAAGATATGTGTGTGTGTGTGTGTGTGTGTGTGTGTGTATAGGTAGTCTCCTTTATCTTTAGTATTCATAATTTCTAAAACATTTCCTTATGTCATTTTCCTTAGTAGAAGTGATTCCTTTACATAATATGAAGGGCAACAATGAAAACATTTCAAAAAGTTCCGGTCTAGTGAGATCCTGTTGAAATGAGATTTTTTTCTATAGATTTGGTTTTATTAAAGGCCAAATCAAACTCTCAAAATTTATGTAATCTTGTCCAAGCATGGTGGCTCAAACCTGTAATCTCAGCACTTTGGGAGGCCAAGGGAGGAGGATTGCTTGAGGCCAGGAGTTCAAGACAAGCTTGAGCAACAGAGTGAGATCTTGTCTCTACAAAAAATAAAAATTATCCAGGCATGGAGATGTGTTCCTGTAGTCCCAGCTACTTGGGAGGCTAATGCAGGAGAATTGCTCGAGCCCAGGAGTTCGAGGCTGTAGTGAGCAAAGCTATAGTGAGCTATGATTGTGCCACTGCACTCCAGCCTGGGCAACAGAGTAAGACTCAGTCTCTCCCTCTCTTTTTTAAAAAATCTTTCCTACACCCTTCTAGTAGAAACCTAAGAACCCTCTCTCTTAAAATAAACACCACTAATAAAATCTAAGCCTGAATTATGAATATCAGCTTTTTATTGAGGGTTTCTTTCTTTTGAGTGTGATGATGCGATCTCAGTTCACTGCAACCTCCGCCTCCGGGGTTCAAGCAATTCTTAAATGTATCCACTGCCTCCCAAGTAGCTGAGATTACAGGCATGCGCCACCACACCCAGCTAATTTTGTACTTTTTTAGTAGAGATGGGGTTTCACCATGTTGGTCAGGTTGGTGTCGAACTCCTGACCTCAAGTGATCCACCTGCCTTGGCCTCCCAAAGTGCTGGGATTACAGGTGTGAGCCACCGCACCCGGCCGAGAGTTTCAACTCTTTTCTAGTCAATAACATTAGAAGAAAATGACATTCTGGGGGGAAAATAATCCATAACATTGTTCATGCAAGTATTTTAAATTCCACTGCCCTAATTTTAAAAAGTGCCATTTTTCAAAAAAAGTTCACTGAACTTTTTTTTTTTTTCTTGGGGGGGACAGATCCTCACTCCATCACCCAGGCTGGAGTGCAGTGGTGCCATCTCAGCTCACTGCAACCTCCGCCTCCCGGGTTCAAGCGATTCTCCTGCCTCAGCCTCCCAAGTAGTTGGGACTACAGGCGTGTGTCACCACGCCCAGCTAATTTTTTGTATTTTTAGTAGAGACGGGGTTTCACTGTGTTAGCCAAGATGGTCTCCATCTCCTGACCTTGGGATCTACCCGCCTTGGCCTCCCAAAGTGTTGAGATTACAGGTGTGAGCCACTGTGCCTGGGCCACTGAACTTTTAAAATTGGTGTATAATGTACCTGTATTAAAGCATCCTAAAAATTCAATTGATCTAAAATAGAATAACATTTTTGAGTGATAATGCTCACAAATTATTTGAAGCTATTCTTGGTCATTGTCAGCCAGGAAACAAAGCTGCTTAATTTTGTTTCATTAGCCAGGTGGGTATTTTTGGTTTTCAGTTAAATGTTAACAAATTTTCAGTAGTTTGATACGTTACTAAAATATATGAGTGAGTATGGTAACTGAACACTAATATTGTAAATGAAATAAATGGATTATTTTTAGTGTTCTAAATGGGGTTCAGAGGCTCATACCTTATTTTAGGTAAGTGCTAAAATTCTTCTAGGTATAAATCATTTCCTGCAACTTATTGTGTTCTTAAATAACTGAACAGTAAAACAAATGGGTTCTGATTGGATTTCAGTTGGATCTCTGGATTCCTCTGACCATTTTCCGGAAAGATAAGTGTTGTGTTCTCACTGAACCTAGCACCTGGCTCAAATAGAGGGCTGCTGAAAGAATCCCACTTGAAGAATACCAGCTGACCCAAGGAGCCAAGGAATGTTTGTGTATTGTAATAATGATAAAAAGGAAATCAGGCCGGGCGCAGTGGCTCACCCCTTTAATCCCAGCAATTTGGGAGGCTGAGGTGGGTGGATCACCTGAGGTTAGGAGTTTGAGACCAGGCTGACCAACATGGCAAAACCCCATCTCTACTAAAAATACAAAATTAGCTGGGTGTGGTGGGGTGTGCCTGTAATCCCAGCTACTTGGGAGGTTGAGACAGGAGAATGACTTGAACCCAGGAGGCAGAGGTTGCAGTGAGCTGAGATCACGCCACTGCACTCCAGCCTGGGCGACACAGCCAGACTCCGTCTCAAACAAAAAGGGAATCAAGTCCAATAATTTCCTTATCCTTAATCCTTCTAATATCGTTGCTACAATAATGGTTGTTGGTTCCCCACTTCTGGCTTCATCTTTTTGGCTTTTTCTTTCCTTTTTTTTTTTTTTTTTAC